AAATTGTCAAAAGTCAAATGTTCTCAAAAGTGCATTTTTTGTCAAATGGGCCTAGCTTCTCATGCTTGCATCTTGCTTGTGACATGGTCCACGACCCAAATCAGCATCCACGCATTATTTGCTTCATTATTTATTTTATCTTGATTTTTTATTATTTAAAATTCAAATTAAATTAAATAAATTGCAAAAAAATATAAAAAGCTTGGTTTTGATCTGATTTTTGTAGGAATCACAATCTAATCAAGCTGGCATAGCATATCAAATTGTGCAAGGCAAATTGAAGCAAAAATTGACATGATTAGGCTTATTTTGGAAACATATCATACAAGAGCAAAATCAAATCAAATTTTCATGATTCACAAAGATTTAAATTGTTTTTGTTTAACTAATATGCTCTACTATATATGCAGAACATGACCAAGGCGCAAGAAGAAGGATGGCAGGTCGTGAGAGCATCAAACAAAACTCAAGATTTTGCAAAAAAAGTGTTGGAATGGTTTCTAACCTAGAGGTCAATTCAAGCCATTCTAAGACTACCAATAGACTCCTAAACATCTCCAGAACGTGTCTCAATCAATTTCAAGCATTTTCACGTCCAGAATCGCGAGCTACAGACCCACGGTTTGCACATACCATCTTGAACTTGATTTTAAAATTTACGCATGATTAATCACTTTTAAGCATATCATTGTGTTTGTACTGACATTTGAAATGTTTTGGTTTAAGTAATTTTGCGTTTTGATGCTTGTATTCATAATTTCCATTATTAGGGTTTATCTTGCCGTTTTAGGGTTTTTCCATACAGGTTAAATTGGCCCAAGAAAAGGGTACCATGATGCTCGTGAGATCAAGACGAATTGATCTATGTATTCACATTTCATTTATCATGCGTTTTGATGATTTTTGAAATTCACAGATGTATAGCTATGGCGAACTGTCCGTAGGTAAATGTTTTATACCTAACACGACAGATGAGGAAGAAGATGATGATGTGTTCAATCATCATTGGGCCATTCAAATAGCTGGAGCGCGTTTTTTTAATTCATTAATACACTTGTTTTTTTATATTATCATTTGATATTATTATATTAACAACTAAGCATTGCAACCCAGTTGGTCAAGTGCGCGTTTGTGAAAAGAGGGACCTGGGTTTGATCCCAGGTCCCAGCATTTTATTATTTTCTTAACATTTGAATTCAGATCATGTACTTTACACAGCCAAGCGCCTTCCATGCAGCCACGCAATCCAGCCAATGGATCATCTCCAATCAGATTCAACGTCTCACACATCAAAGACCATGGTACACCATCAGAAGGGAGCAGCACTGGATCCCACGCAAGGATTGGGCTCAGCAGCTCTTTGGGCCTTACAAATTCAACGTCACACCTCCCTTTTCAACAATACAGGCCCAAGTTTTTTCTTTTTCCTTTTTTATTTATTTTCTTTATTTTAATTATTTACTAATTATTTTCTTTTTACAAATAACATAAAAAATCATTTTTACCATTAAATCAAAAAATCACAAAAATATATAAAAATCATTTATTTTCATAAAAAATATTTTATTTCCTTAATTAATTAGATTAATTATTTAGGGCAATTTAATCCTTTTTTTTCTTCATAATTTAAATCAATTAGAAATTAGGGTTTAATTTGTACATAACCTAATTTTTTTCTCAAAAATAACCTAAAAATGTTCTCAATTAGATTTTTTAGGTTTTCTAATTCATTCTCGCATTTAATTTTCCGCGCACATTTTTTTTAATTTCCTTTTTATTATTATTGTAACTGCTCCGAATTTATAATAGTAATTAGGGTTTCAATTCCGCATCTTTATTTTTCGGTCAAAATAATTATGTATCTGCAAAAGCCCTGTAATAGCTAGGACTTTAACTTTCTCGCTTTTATTTTCGCAAACTATAAACTGCTTAGATGAATGTTAATAGGATTGTATGGAAAGACAAACTGAAAATTAATACGGTAGAAAACCCTAAATATGCAAAGATAAATTAACTGAAAATTAGACTCGCACATGCTCACTCCTAGGGTTTACTCCACTCCGGTGCCTTCGGTAAACGGTCATGAAGTATAGGGTTTGTTAGTGGTTATCCTCTAGTCCCGAAAGATCTAAAATGACCCATTCAGATGTTGCCTCGGAAAAAGATCTTTAAGGCTTTAGGATGATTACTAACATTTCCTAACATTGCTTTTGTGATTGTATTTGTCCCTTCGAATGTCCCTAAAAAACTCCAACGACGATGCTACCTATTTCTCAATAATGGGATGACATTGTCTAAAAGGAAAACGAACAGACCTTTTTCGAGTAGGTAGATTAGTTCCTAGGTACTTGCTCAAACAAACAAAAACTTTTTCACACAAACAGTTTTCAAACAAAGTTTTCAAAAACAACTTCATAACACTCTTGAGGACAGAAACAAGGGTTAAACCGAAGTAAAACAAAACTTTTCAAAGCAATCACACACAAGCAATTTCAAAATGAGCAAGTACCTAAGAGCCCGTGGAAAACCACAGATAGAAAGGGTGCTAACACCTTCCCTTTCTATAATCTATCCCCCGTACTCAGAAACATCTCGAAAAAGGTTTTTTCTGTTCTTTTTCCTTTTCCTGATTGGATAAAATAAAAGTCGGTGGCGACTCTTGCTTACCGCGACATTTGCGAACAAAAAACGCAAACCAGTATTAACAGTCGGTTCTGCCACCGTTTCACAGGTAAGTTTTCTTGAATTTCAAAACTCCATATACACACATCATTTGCTTTCGATTTCAAAAGATAAAGTGTAGATATCATCTCTACAAAGCTAACCATGTCCTTAGTTCTCATTTAAATTGACTGTGTAATGAGAATTTTGACTCTGAACCGTTAGGGTTTATTTTTGGTACCAACATAAATTCTCTTTAATCTTTGAGTTTTAGCTTGAGTAAATTACATGGTTGAATTCGTGATTAAATTCCAAGCAAGTTTGGTGTTTACATTTTTTTTAAATGGTGGAGAAATGAAGTTTTTACATGTTTGACAATGGAGTTTGTTGTTATTGTCGTTACGGGGAAGAAGAAGAAGAAAGGTGGTGCGAAATCAACTTTGAAAAATGAGTTTATAATATATTTATTAGTTGTTGTTTTATGAATGGATGAAACAACCACCCCAGTGGCAGCGCGCATGTTCTTAAGGCTTACCTATGCTTGGTCCTGGATTCGATTAAGGTATGGGGAATTTCATTTTATAATATTTTCATTGCAGATCTAGTACAAACCAGGCATACACGCTCATCATACGCCTCATGTTACAACCATCAGATCTCTCCAGAGTCAGATCTAACGCACCAAACGCACGTCTCATGACATGCCTTCTGAAAACCACTCTCACTGGATCCAGCGCAAACCTGGGCTTTGTCCAATTTGGGCTTATATTTTTGCTTCTTTCTCACCCATATTTTACTTGTTTGCAGGCCCATTGATTTTCTTTTCTTTTTTATTTTAATTTAATTCTTTTCTTTTTTAATCAATTTCATTTTTTATTTAATCAAAAAAATCATGAAATAATAAAATCATAAAAAAAATTAGATTTAGTTTTCTTGATTTAATTAATTTAATTTTTGATAATTAAAATTAACTAACTCAATTATAATTTGTTTTTACTTATTAATTAACTAATTAATTAATTAGAATTAGGTTTAATTATTATTTCACACTTCAAATATTTTTCTAAACCAAAAAGAAAAACATCAAAAATATTTTCTTAAATGGTTAGAAATATTTTAGGTTTTTTCTTAAACAATCTCTCCCCTTTTCAATCTCCGCACGCTCATTTTACTTTTTCGCATTATTTTTCAATATTGTAAATTGTCAATGGTTTGTAATAGATAATTAAGGTTTATTGTTTTCCTCTCATTTTTTATGGTTTGTACTCCCCATTCCCGAAGCGTTGTAATAGCATAGGTTATTTCCCGCATTTTTTTTGCACTTGTATATATTTAACTGCTGCATTAGTTAGACGTGCGCGGAAAGACATAAAAAACAAACATTAGATAACCATAAATCCAAGACAAAAATAACTGAAACCAATCACTTTGCACACGCGCACCTCTAGGATGACCCTCACTTGTTGCCTCGGATAAAAAACAATCATGTCCCTCGAACGTGAGATGCTTTAGCAAAGACCCTCGATTAAAAGATCGTAGTCCCTCGATGACCCTTCGATGTTGCCTTCGGTAAACAATCTTAGTCCCATACGAAAATTGCTAAAAGCGTCCTACAAGTTGCCTTCTATGACTGTACGATGACTTGCGCTTGTCTCTCACATCCAACGATAGGACTTCCTATTAACTAATGGTAGAGTAGCACCATTTAAAGGAGAAGGAAAAGAACAAAGACTTTTTTGAGTAGGTAGAACGCTCGTAATCGTTTGCTCACAAACTTTTCAAAACAAAACATCTTTTCACAAAACAACACTTTCTTTCACAATATTTTCAAAACAAACATTTTGTACACATTCTTAACGATACGAGAATCATTACAAAATTGCCGCACTTAAACATTTTCAAAATATTTTCAAACGTACAGAAGCACAAAACATTTTCAAAAAGTGAACTAGCGATTAAGAGCCCGTAAATAATCCACGTGAACAAAAATAGAATTAGATGTAAAATCTTTAAAGACACATGATATTTGAGAGGGATACTGAAAAAATCTAGATAAGATAAATGGAAATTAAAAAAAATATTTTACGAAAGCTAAAAACAAAACTCAGCATTCTATTTTTTTTTGGTTCTCTTTAAGAATTTAAAAGATTAATTAAAAAATAAATAAATAAAATACTACAAAAGTAAAAAAAACAAGGTATACTTTCCATACTCCTTTTGAATACGCCTTGCGTCGTTGTGATATAGATACAGAGTGAACAAATCTAAATTTAACAGCCTCGCTTCACAGTACTACCGCTACTACTGCAATTGCAAGACTTACATCGCAAAAAGCATCAATGGCTATCGAAACTCTCGTATTAGGTATTTTTCACTTCTTTCATCTATAGTTTCTTCTTTGAATCTCTCTTACCGCTGTTAATTTCAACGAACTGTAGGCGCTGGGCAAGAGGTTGGGAAAAGCTGCGTAGTGGTGAACATCAATGGAAAGAGAATCATGTTCGATTGCGGCATGCACATGGGTTACAATGATCACCGTCAATTCCCTGATTTCTCTCTTATTTCACCTTCTGGTGATTTCAATGATGCTCTCTCATGCATCATCATTACTCATTTGTAATAACTTCTTCATTCATTCATTTGTAACGAACATTTTTTATGTTTGTGTTGTTGATGTTGAAGATGTTTATTTGGTTGTGAAATTAAATTGTGCAGTCATTTGGATCATGTTGGAGCTTTAGCTTACTTCACTGAAGTTTGCGGGTATGGCGGACCGGTTTACATGACGGTGAGTGACTCCTGTTTTTGCCTGTTACCTGTTTGATGAAATGTTTGACTCAATATGATGTGCTGCTGCTTGTATTTAATCCTGCATCCACTTTTCTATCTTTATAAATCACAAAACTACTTGTAAAAAACACGTAGCTTTTTTATTTGTAGGACTTTAATGTGGGTATAGGGATTAAAAACACAATTCCATATAATTAAAAACATATTGAGACTTTACTTATTTGTTTACTTTGAGTTGATATGTGTTTAATAAGAAAAGTTCTTTCTGTACTAAAAATGCATACATGTTACTCAAATTGGTAGAATGAGTGTATTGTTATACAATCTTTCTTGCTAATTGCGTATTTGTTTGGCACAAAGTAGCATTATTGTTTGACTAATTGTTATGATAATAATACTTTGTTGTTTGTAAGCATCACACTTAATGTTGAAAGCATGTTTGGGATCCGACACCGACATATGTGATTACATTCAAGTATTCATTTTTCTCAATTATTGGTGACCACATGTCATTGTTGTGTCTGTTTGAGTCATTGCTTCATAGGTTCTTATCTTTTTGTGATTGTGTGAGGGAGTGATGAAAATAACAAAATAAACCTTTTTAGTCAAACATAAATAATGGGAATTTTTGAAAACTGAAAATAAACAATGTATCCTTTATTAAACACTTTTGACATGAGAAATGAATGTGAAACCTTTATGCGATGTTTCCTGGTCATGTGAATGATGAGTACTTTTTATTTTAAGATTATGGAATTGTTAATATTATTCTGAGTAAGAGGAAGCAAATGTCCGCGGCTCTGGATTGAGGAAACTAAAATATGATGGTAAATGTTACTGGTTTAAGAAACCCATAAATCAACTAAATAGGAAAGTATTTGGTAGAGATTCTAGAGAAGGGTATTCTTGATCGAAATTTCAAATTTTTGTAGGCAGGGAATTTTTGTACTGCATATGCATATAATCAAGTTCTAATTTTTGCGTGGTTCCTTGTGTAGAATTCAAATAAATGCTTATGGTGCTTTGAATATTTTGAGTACTGTCTCCTTGGTTGTAGTTCTATAGCGCTAAATTTAGCTTGACTTATATTTGATTTTAAGCAGTACCCAACAAAAGCTTTGTCTCCGTTGATGTTGGAAGACTATCGGAAAGTGATGGTTGATCGTCGGGGTGAGGAAGAACTATTCACTTCTGATCATATTGCTGAGTGCATGAAGAAAGGTAATGTAGTATCCTCTTCTCCCTTGCACTATCTTAATGTTGGTTTGCATTAGACAAGACATGTCTCTCAGAATAGGTGCATGTACTCAAACCTGTCAATGGATCACAAGTTACAAGATGTATACCGTAGCTGATAGAGTCATAGAGCTGCTTAAGACTATCAATAAGTTAGAATTCTATGTAGCTACTGTGTCACGAGGATTTTATTTAATGAAAGATATCTATTAATTTTCTGGTGTATGAATATCATTCATTTCAGTTTTAAATTTTTGTTGTTTTTTTCGTAATTGATAATGATGACAAACTAAAGTTTCATAGTTTAGATTTTAGTGTGAATTTAAAAGAAGATTCTGTCATGCTCAATCAGTAGTTTGGTGTGTGTTTTGGTTTGTTGGACACAGCAAGTTCCCATCCAAAATCACCATACGTCTGACATTAGCATCTTAATTATATATCTTCATCATACTCATTATAATTTTATATGATTCCTGTAAACAGTTATTGCTGTAGATCTGAAGCAGACTGTGCAAGTAGATGAAGATCTGGAGATACGGGCATATTATGCAGGCCATGTAAGGCTTATGAGCTTCATCTCTGAAGTCTTATTTCCTTTGCAGTAATAGGTTTAACACCTGTTTTTTTGGCGATTTTATCACTATTGAAGTTCTTGTTTAATTTTATAGAATATAAAATGTAATGGATGGGATGCCCAAAAGTTGGTAAATCAGAAACCATACATAAAATATTCACAATAAGATGAAAGAGTCTGGTTGAAAGTCTGGAAGAGATAGGACTTCCAAAGTTCTAAATGAATGGGTCCAGTAACTTTCAAGATTAGGGTTTAGATAGTCTTGGATATTGAAGCTTTTTAGTTTTCACTTTATTCTATCCACATCAGGACTGACACATCTATAATATCTCATGCCTGTCACTTGATAGCCCAAACTTAACATTATTAAACCTTCCATTTGAAGTAGCATTCCTTGAAACATAACTCATGATTTTATATGAAGATGTTTTTAGGATTTTTTTTTGTTATTCAGGTTACTTTCGTTGTCATATATATCTTGTATGAATAGGTTTTTGTTTTTCTCTAGAATTGATTTCTAGTACTCTCATTTGATCATTCAGCCTCTTATAAATTGTTAAGGTTATCGGAGCTGCGATGTTCTATGTAAAAGTTGGAGATGCAGAAATGGTTTATACAGGAGACTACAATATGACACCAGATAGACACCTAGGAGCAGCTCAAATTGATCGACTACGACTTGACCTTCTTATAACTGAGTAAGAACATCATTGACTGAGTAAATCCATTCTATAATGATATCATCAACATTATGTGTATGTTTGGTATGATGGTGGGTATGTCAGAATCACAGGGAGCCACCGTGATTCGAGCATACACACTGTGATACTAAACATGCACTATAGTGAGGGCTGTAAATGGTATTCTCTACTTGTTTATTGTTTTTAGAGTATATTCATTATATTAGTTCATATTCAATTATGTTATTGTTAGAAATATGAACCAATCCTTGGTCTGCACCTAGCTGGCTAGATTTTTGGGAAGTTGGTTCTTACATACTATCAAACATATATGACCAAGTAATAAATTTTTTTATTGAATAGTGTTTGTTGTCAGTTGTTATTTTGTAAGCAGAGCAAGTTGAACTTCCTTACGTATCACTTCAACCTTTATGTCTCTCCATGAAACCACATTATCGTTCCTACATTACCAAGTAGTTCTGAGATTAGGTTTTGTTGCCCATATTTTTCTTCATTTGACCAATTTCATTTTTTGGGTCACATGTATTTTGCCACTTTAATTTATTAAGCTCGTTATACTTTTTACCCTAAATTATCTAATTGAGCTTAGGAGTGACAAATTTGCAAATTATATTGTCATTTTGTTACGTGTACAAATACAATGCTTTTTTATCTACTGAATCGTTCAATATGGTTTAAGATGCAAGTACGTGTTTTGCACTCACTTCTTATAATTATAAGAAGGATTATATTGGACTCACTTTTCTTATGGCTCTCAATCTCATTTCAGATCCACATATGCGACCACAATACGTGATTCAAAATATGCTCGAGAGAGGGAATTCCTCAAAGCTGTATGTATTCGGAAAATTACTTTGAAGGAACTAAGAACTAGAAGTGTTTATTTAATTTTGTGCCTTATTTTCTCTCAAACATCTATTTCGTAGAAGCATTGTTGATCTCACTTTCTCAACCCCCTTTTCTCTCATACTTTTGCTGTCTGTGTTTACATTGACATGTCCTATATTTGAAGTGGGCCTTTGATATTTTTGGTAAATCTTGGTTTATTATGTTCTTAGCATGGATCAGTTTTTTAGATTAGGTCATGAGATTTTGACTGAAGTAAAGAAGGCAAAGTTTTGTCGATTTGTGCTATTTTGCTCCTAGTTGATGCATTAGGTTGGACATACGATAGGAATCAAGGCAATGTCTGTTTATGTCCGTTTATACATTTTCTTATTATTTTTTAAGGAATCAATATTATCCTATGCTATCATCTTTCCTTTTGTTTCCATTTTTATATTTTTTATAGTTTTTTTACTCAAGGCTCATAATTTTTGTTAATGTACTCCTGTGTCCTAAAGTAAAGATTTGTTTGTGGACGACCCCCAAAACACTATAACAGCGGGTAGTTTCAACAAGCATATAATAAAGTTACAAATTTTAATTATTTATTTTTGCTTGTGCTTCTTTTGCTTTATGATTTACTTTTGTCAGTGCACCTGATCTTACAATTAATCTAATGTTGGTTACTAAGTTTCAAATTAATTGATTCAGATTCATAAATGTGTTTCTAGTGGAGGAAAGGTGCTTATTCCAACATTTGCTCTTGGAAGAGCTCAGGTATTCTGCTTAAAATGACCATTCATCTCATTATTGTAATTTATTTTTGTTTGTTGTAGCTAATGACCGTAGAAGTAATTATGGTTCTTGTCTCCGTATAATGTTTCCATGTTGAACTATAACACTCATTAGGGAGATGTAGTGTTAAGAGTCCCATATCAGACATATGCAGCCTGAACATAAGCCCCTATCTTTTCACCTTAGTCTTGGATGTAGTAACGGAACACATTCAAGAGCTAGTACTACTGCAATGTATGTTTTTATTTGCAAATGATACATAAATGGAAGGTCAGAGACTTGGAGACAAACTTTAGGTTAACATGGCTTTCATTTTTGTAGAAGTAAGACATAGTTTATGCATATAAGTTTAGCAAAAGCAAAGAACGCCTAGTTAAGAGGTGAAAATCAGAGACCGTACCATACCACAAGCCACGTGATTTAAACATCTTGAATCCATTATACAAAACGATTGAGAATGGGGGTGATATAACCTATAAGATTTAAGCAGAGTAGATCGGATGAGGGGGAGCTTGAGGGTTTTATGTGATAAAAAATACATCTCAAGCTAAAGGGAAAGTTTTATTATACAACTTTCGTTGAATATTAGCACAAAATCAAAACAGATTCTGTCATACAGCATATTATGGCTGGATTTCAATTGTAATTAAATAGTAATTAACTGTATTATTCTATTCTTACCTTATTTAGGATTAGCATTTATAGGGAGACTAATTACCCCTATTTCCTAGTGTAATTCATATTCTATAAATGCCTCATATGTACTGTGTTACAAAATATACAAAATAGAAAAACATATTTCTATATGGTATCAGAGCAAAACGAATCCTTTAAGGTCTTTTTGTTTTTGCTTTCGCTCTATTTGTCTTTTTTTTCTTCTCATCCCACAATGTCTGATACCGAGTCCTCACTTTCACCCAAACATTCCTCACCCGAATCTAAACACCTAAATTAGTCCGGACGTACCATGAAAACCACCCTGTTCAGATCACAACAATTCGGCTGAACGGTGCTAATTATCTTCGATGGTCGCAATCCGTTCGTATGTATCTCAGGGGGAGAGGAAAGATTGGCTACATCACTGGCGACAAAAAACAACCAGACAAGGCAGGTGCAGATTATGATACATGGGATGTTGAAAACTCCATGGTTATGACATGGTTAGTCAACTCCATGAATGAAGAGATAGGTGCAAATTATCTCTGTTATGAGACTGCAAAAGAACTTTTGGGAAGGTGTCTCCCAAATGTACTCTGATTTGGAAAATCAATTCCAAATCTACGAATTAACTCTCAAACTGGGAGAAATTCGGCAAGGTGATGATTCAGTCACCAAATACTTCAATTGTCTCAAACGTATTTGGCAAGATTTGGACCTTTTCAATGAGTATGAGTGGAAATCAACTGTCGATATCAAACATTACAAGAAGATGGTGGATGTTAGTCGTGTTTTCAAGTTCCTTGCAGGTCTAAATGTTGTTTTTGATGAGGTTCGTGGCCGAATTCTAGACAGAAATCCTATCCCTCCAATTGGTGAAGTTTTTTCAGAAGCACGTCGCGAAGAGAGTCGTCGGCAAGTGATGCTTGGCAAAAATACAGCAGCTGTCCCTCCACCAGTTGAAGGATCTGCCTTGGCAATTCCCCATGTCAATCGTAAACCACTTCCTAATCAACGAGGTGGCGACAAGACTCATTTATTTTGCGACTATTGTGGGCGCAATCGCCACACTCGGGAAACTTGCTATAAACTACATGGACGACCAAACCATGGCAAGGCTGGTAAATTTGGTGACCGTCCTATGCCTATGGCCAATGAGGCTGATTCGTCTCCATGTACGAAGGAGCAAATGGATAACCTTCTTAAGTTTATAAAGTTCAATTCATCTCTTAATATTCCTACTGGAACTGTGGCACAAACAAATAAGGATTCTTAGGCACTATTTGCCCACAACCACTCTAACCCTTGGATAATAGATTCAGGGGCATCTGAACACATGACTAATTGCTCTAATCTATTCAATTCCTATTTTCCTAGTTCAGGTTTTGAAAAAGTTAGGATAGCTGATGGTAGTTATTCAAGTATTGCAGGCAAAGGCGACATAAAAATTTCAGAGCAAATCACTTTGCAATCTGTTTTACATGTTCCTAAATTCGCTTATAATCTTCTATATGTTCATAAATTGTATAAGGACACTAATTGTTCTGTTCTTTTTCGTCCCTCTGCTTGTGTTTTTTAGGACCAGAACTCGGGGAAGACGATTGGAACTGCTAGAGAGATGAATGGACTGTACTACCTTGATGGAATTCAGTTTGGCAATACATCGTTTTTCGGTTCAAACAGTACAAACTCAGTTATGTTATGGCACCACCCTAGTTTTTCATATCTTAAGCATTTGTTTCCTGTTTTTTTCCAAAGAAATAAATTCCTCACAATTTCATTGTGAAGCTTGTCACTTAGCTAAAGATCATTGTGTGTCTTTTAAATCAAAAGACTATTCTGCTTCCAAACCTTTTTATTTAATTCAGTGATGTTTGGGGTCCTTCAAAAATTAAAATTATGTCTGGAAAAAATGGTTTGTGACATTTATTGATGATCATAAACGACTGTGTTGGGTTTATCTCATGGAAAAAAAAAATCAGAAGTTGAACAAAGATTTCAAGATTTTTTTAACATGATTGACAATCAATTTCAAACCAAGATTGGCATTCTAAGGTCTGACAATGACACTGAATATTTCAACAAACATTTAAGTACATTCCTTGTAACTAATGGGATAATTCATCAATCCACTTGTCGCGATACTCCGCAACAAAATGGTATTGCTGAAAGAAAAAATAGACATCTCCTCGAAGTTATTAGAGCTATTATGTTTTCTATGAATGTACCTAAGTATCTTTGGGGAAATGCTTTATTAACTGCTTGTCACCTCATCAATCAAATGCCATCTCGAGTGTTACAATATGAAAGTCCTGTACAAGTGTTACAATTTTTTTTCCTACATCTGGTATTATTACGGATCTTCCCCTTGAAGTTTTTGGTTGCCTCTGTTATGTTTACATCCCCAATGTTTTTCGTTCTAAGTTGGATCCTAAAGCCGAAAAATGTGTTTTTCTTGGCTATGCATCCAATAAAAAGGGATGCAAATGTTTTAACCCTGTTACAAAGAAATTTTTTGAAAGCATGGATGTTTACTTTGTTGAAAATCAACCTTTTTTTAAAAATTCTCTTCAGGGGGAGAGTCTATGTAATAATAAAGAAGATAATTTTTAGGAAACTTTGCCTGCTCTAGATGATATTGTGACTACAAATCACCCAAGTGCTAAAATAATAGAATCTGAAACAGGGGGAGTAACACTGATTAAGGATGATAATCCTGAAATTAAAGTGTATGTTCTGAAAAAATTCCACAAAGGTGGTGCAGGTGCAAACCCTATTGTCTCTCCCGTAGAAATCCAATTCGATTTACCAAGTGAAGGTCCTACAGATAATCTGTCTTCTAGTTCTTCATCTGGTAATCCTTCTTACTCATCCAATGATTTATCTGATTTGTCTTTTCCTGATATTAATCTTCCAATTTCTGTGAGAAAAATATTCCTGACCTCGATGTCCCAATTGCTGAGAGGAAAGGTTCTCGTATGTGCACTAAACATCCTATGTCTAATTACTTGTCATATGACAAACTATCACACACCCACAAGGCATATGTGTCTAGGATTTCTAATTTGTTTGTGCCCAGAACTATTCAGGAAGCATTAAGTGATCCGAATTGGAAATTAGCGGTGAAAGAAGAGATGAATGCTCTAAACAAAAATAACATTTAGAGTATCACTGATCTACCACAAGATAAAAATGCAGTAGGGTGTAAGTGGGTCTTTACAGTGAAATGCAAGGCTGATGGAAGTGTGGAAAGATACAAAGCGAGATTAGTAGCAAAAGGATTTACTCAAACTCATGGTATTGATTACCAAGAGACTTTTGCTCCGGTTGCTAAGATCAATTCTATCAGAATTCTTCTTTCCCTTGCAGTAAATTTCAACTGGACATTATATCAAATATGATGTTAAGAATGCCTTCTTAAATGGTGAATTACACGAAGAAGTATATATGAGTTTACCTCCTGGTTTTGAAAATAATCTTAAAAGAAACAAAGTATGCAGATTGAGAAAATCCTTATATGGATTAAAACAATCGCCAAGGGTGTGGTTTGAGAGATTTGGAAGTGTTGTTAAGAGACATGGCTTCATCCAAAGTCAAGCAGATCACACTATGTTTCTTTAAACACTCATGTGAAGGTAAGATTGTTATCTTAATAGTGTATGTTGATGACATTATTATTACAGGAGATGACGTCAAAGCAATTAGTGATATGAAGAGAAGACTTGAGGCTGAGTTCGATATCAAGGATCTTGGAAAGTTAAAATACTTTCTTGGGATGGAATTCGCAAGATCTAAAGAAGGAATTTTTCTCAACCAGCGCAAGTATATACTCGATTTACTCGCAGAAACAGGGATGACGGGGTGTAAAGTAGTAGAAACACCAATGGATCCCAATGTGAAACTAAAGTTAGTTGCTGAAGATGAAATAGTAGATAGAGAACGTTATCAACGATTGGCTGAAAGACTAATTTATTTGTCACATACAAGGCCAGATATAGGCTTTGCAGTGAGTGTAATAAGTCAATTTACGCATGCACCAAGGGCAACCCACTTTGAAGCTATTTTCAGAATATTAAGATATTTGAAAGGTACTCCAGGAAAGAGGGTGAGATTCAGAAATAGAGGACATGTACAGGTTGAAGCCTATACAAATGCTGATTGGGCAGGTAATATAAATGATAGAAGGTCTACCTTAGGATATTGTAGTTTGTAGGTGGAAATCTAGTTACATGGAGGAGCAAAAAACAAAATGTTCCTGGAGCAGTGCAGAAGCTGAATTCCGATCTGTGGCCCATGGTTTTTGTGAAGTGTTATGGATAAAAAAATTCATGGAAGAATTGAGGCTTTTTGGCCAAACTCCAGTTAAAGTTTACTGCGATAATAAGGCTGCTATTTCTATTGCTCATAATCCTGTCCTACATGACAGGACGAAGCATGTTGAAGTGGACAAGCATTTCATCAAAGAAAAAATTGATAGCGGCGAGATTTGTATGTCCTACATACCCACCAAAAGTCAGGTAATAGATGTTCTCATATAGAGTCTTCCAAAGAGACTGTTTGATAACATGGTGTGCAAGCTTGCTATGAACGATATATTCATGCCAGCTTGAGGGGGAGTGTTGAATATTAGCACATAATCAAAACAGATTCTGTCATACAGCATATTATGGTTGGATTTAAATTGTAATTAAATAGTAACTAACTGTATTATTCTATTCTTACCTTATTTAGGATTAGCATTTATACGGAGAATAATTACCCCTATTTCCTAGTGTAGTTCATATTCTATAAATGCCTCATATGTACTGTGTTACAAAATATACAAAATAGAAAAACATATTTCTATAACTTTCAATGATGTTGTATAGGATTGAGTGTTGGTTGGTAAATGCTAGAACAAGAGTAAGTTCAGTGTAGCAGAAATGAGATTGCTACGCTGGATGTTTGGAAATACTACTCGAGATAGGTTAAAGAATGATATCATTAGAGAGAATTTAAATAGTACTTATTGCAGAAAATAAGGTTGAATCTCGACTTTGGTGGTTTGGGCATGAATGTTTCGTAGTAAGGAGAGTAGGTCAAACGAAAGGCAGCTCAAATGCTAATGAAAACAAAAATTGGGTTTTTTTTAATCCTTGGAGATGTGATATATTTGAAGGTAATCTCCAATTTTTTTTCTTCATTTTAAGTTATTATATTTAAAAGAATGGTTTTTTTGTCCTCATTGGGAACTAAAAGCACTTGCTTTTATGGATATTTATCTAAAATACATTTCTCTTTAATCTATTTTATCCAAGGAAGGAGGGATTAATGATCCATGAAGTGAACTACTCATGATTCTGGTTCAGTGACCAGTTTAACTATCGAAATTCAAAACATTAATCAAGATGCAATGTAACAAGGGTTTGTATATTTACCAAGTTATTTTGATATGTAGGAACTATGCATTTTGTTGGAGGATTACTGGGAGCGCATGAATTTGAAGGTTCCTATCTACTTCTCTGCAGGTTTGAATAAGCTAGCGTCCCTGATTTACAGCTATACATATTTATGCCAAAATATAATCACATGCTTTTTGCTTTGTCACATTCAAATCCTACACAGATTTTGCTTGAGGGGAGGGATTACCTGGTTTTTGACATTAAATTGTGTTCTGATGCAACAAAGGAATGCTTACGTATGAAATGAAATCTTACAAATTGTGTATGGAATAAAAAGGCTTCTTCAATTTTCAATAATAAAAGAAAGAAATGTAGGACTATTATGATACTAACCACACATAATGCACCTTTCTTTGAAGAATCAAAATATAAAAAGGGACAAATATACACCATTGCCTTTGAGTTTTTAGTTTTCATGATTTTATTTGATCTTGGGCATAGTCATAGAGTTACGATTTGCATTAGTATCTGCTAATACCTTCCCAAGTTGTGTGATATATGTCATAAAATAAAATGCTATCTTAGTATGCATAATCTTCAAATATTGCAATTTATAATGATATTTTCCTGCTTTTCTTTTGGTTTCCGTACTAGTCAGCACAAAATAATACAATTGCAGTTATAATAAATATATTAATTTGGATAGACATAATGCAATGCAGCTTGGTCATATGTGACTTCTTGAGCTGTATATCTTCCTATTGGTTTACTTCTCATTAATTGTTGGTATTTGTGTGACATTAATTCTAACTATTTGAATATGTATTTTTCCTTTCAGGATTAACTATTCAAGCTAATATGTATTACAAGATGCTTATTGGTTGGACAAGCCAGAAGATTAAAGATACATACTCCACACATAATGCATTTGATTTTAAGAATGGTGATATTTTTATTTCTAAAGTTCTCAGAAATTTCTAAATTATATTTCATTTGTGAAGTCGCATCTAAGCCTGAAACAACAACAACCAAACATTTTTCCCACTACATGGGATTGGTAGATCAAACAATGTCATAATTCCCAATCATCTTTGGATGCAATTCCATTTTTTTAACATAACTCCATTGTTTTGTGATATACAACCTTGTGCTGGAGCATTCCTGTGGTTAGATATGTTCTTTATATTCAATAGCCTTTACAGTTAGTTGGCATACATAATTTATTTTGCCAAATGGTTATGAATTTTAGGTGAAAAGCACAATTTTCCAGACCGCACAAAAGCGGGGATTTTGTGGCTGGTTGAATTTTGAAGATTAGAAAATTTTGTAATAAGGGATGCATGCAAAAGATTTAAATGTTATGGGGTAAGGGAGTGGACTTTGTGACTAAAACATTTGTATAATTTAATACATTTTATAAAAACTGAGAATAGAGGTATAATTTGTTCCATAAAAATGTATTATCTGATGAAGTCCTATGTCTCACTCACCTGGTTTGGATGTTGCAGTTCACAAGTTTGAGCGGTCTATGCTTGATGCTCCTGGTCCTTGTGTTCTCTTTGCCACCCCTGGGATGATAAGTGGTGGATTTTCATTGGAAGTTTTTAAACACTGGGCACCGTCAGAAAATAATCTTGTCACTTTGCCTGGGTACACCCATTTATATTCTTTTTCTTACTATCTTTTCAATTTTTATTATTAGATAGAAGAAGAACAAAATGCAGATAAATGTCTCCCACTATTGGTGTATCACATTTAAAAATAAATGGAAATCAAACTATTTTAAATCTATCACCTGGTAATCAATTGTATCCATTGCTTGATGGCTTGGTGTGGATTATTTGCTGGTTTTGTGGTAACTTAGATGGTTGGCCTTCACTCTGCAGTCTGCACTTGAAAAGTTATGATTCTGTGTGTTTTCTAGAATAGGGGCTTTCCTTATTAGTCTGTGAATTCGGGTTTTGGGGGCTTAATGCTACCATTGTTGTGGATATTATTGGTTGCCCGTTACGAAATCATATGATGACTTGGTTTGTTCTCCCTTAATCTTTCTACTCTATGTCACAATGTGCGTGGAGATAATCCCTTCCTCCATTTCTTTTACCGTCTCTTCCATATTATCATTTTCTTTTTTATGAAAAATATGTATGAATTCTTCATCGGTGTCAACGTTATTGGCTGCCAATGATAAAAGGTAAATGAAGAGTAGGTTTCTCTTTATCTTTCTACAACATGTCACAACCTGTATTGTGAGCATTGCGGTGCTCTCTTTCCCCATTCCATCTTTTGTCTTTTTTCTAGTATTATTTTTCTTTTATGTATTACAGTCATCTTATTTTGATAGACTTACATATTAATTCAGTTTTGTGTTACTTTTGTAGGTATTGTTTGGCAGGAACGGTAGGACATAAATTAACATCAGGGAAGTCTACCAACATTGATATAGATCCTGATACACAGATAGATGTGCGTTGCCAGGTACAATTTATTTCCTACCCTTTTATTTACTAGGAAAGTTATCTTCTGTGGGAATATTTCAGCAGGAAAAATAAGTATTAGCAGCAGCATATACGAGTAAATAAATCTGTCTAGTGATAAAAAATGTGCATTCAAAAACAAGAAAAAAGAAACCTCATTACTTTCGTAGATTATATGTACTTCTCTAAGTTATTGAGTTTGGTGCTATAAGTTTGCAACTGACATGACATGAGAACAAGTATACATCTGAAACCATATTTCTTATGTTGATTGTTTGTTGGATAAATGAAACACGAACTGACATTGAAGGTAATTGAATCAGTCCTTTAGTTTCTCAAATAATTTAATATTTTTCTTAAATTGACAGATTCATCAGTTGGCTTTTAGTCCTCACACTGATTCTAAAGGGATAATGGATCTTGTAAAATTTCTCTCCCCAAAGCATGTTATACTAGTGCATGGTGAGAAGCCTAAAATGGATTCTCTAAGAGAAAGAATTCATTCTGAATTGGAGATTCCTTGTTACAATCCCGCAAACAATGAAACCGTAAGCATTCCCTCAACTAACTACGTAAATGCAGAAGCCTCTGGCACTTTCATCCGAAACTGCTTGAATCCAAACTTCAAGTTTCAGAAATGCAGTTCAGTGGACACACCTAACTCCACTCTGATAGACAGAAACCTCACGCCAGAACTTAAAGTTGAAGATGAAAGAGTAGCAGATGGAGTTTTGGTCATGGAAAGTAACAAAAAGGCAAAAATTGTACACAGAGATGAGGTTTTGATCATGTTGGACAAAAAGAAGCAAGAGGTTTAGTTTACATATTTGTATCGTTCACATATTGGTAAATGGGGGTGACTCAATAGATTGCCTATTTGACAAGAGCACTTGATTTATGTTCTTACATTGAAAGCTTAATGGTGACAACAGATCTGGAGGAAAGAATGAATCTTTTGGAGAATATCTGCAAATGTAGTCATTTCGCATCTATCTCTTCTGAAGCATTATTGTTTTAGGAAATCTCCCAAAGTACAACCAAAGCAGTATATATTGCTTCTGCATTTGGTCAGCTGTGAACATGAGAGGGTTGTAAGGAAACTTATTTATGAAATGTAGAGCGTTAATAGATGAGAAGAGCACCAGATGGGAAGAGGAGCTGTTAAACAGAACAGCATCTGTTGGAATCATTGTACTTTTCTCTGAAAGGAATTTTATTGAAATAGACTTGAGCTGTAAGAACATGGAGCATTTGATAGTGTGTCTTGCTGGGTGGCCTAAACAAGTTTCAGAAACTACGTGCTCACAATTTACTAGGCTCCCATGTTTATGATGCTGGAGAAAGGAAATTGTGTTATAATTTGATCATTTTAAAGTTACATATAGTATTTGTAGTAATTAATTTTAGATATTTTATTGGGGTAAATCAAGAATCATTGATAGATGTTACACTGTTTTTGAATGAATCGTATATCATTTTAGTTTTACGTTTTTGCATGACTTAGATAGTATTCTTTCAAACATATAAAATATAATTAATAAAAATGCATGTATTATCTACTAAGAAGTTTTAATAAATTTTTATCTAAAGTTAATAGTGACTTGATAGCAAGGAAACAATATTAAATTTAAGAATTTTACTAAACTGTTATTATAGAGTAGAAAAATATTCCGTTTTAAATTGTCATCAACTTCGTATTCGTATGCGATGGTTGAGTCTTGTGTATAAGAATAAGTATTTCCACTTATAAAGGAATACAAATGTAAAATGATAGAAATTTTTTGGTGCTATTACTTCTTGAGAAAATAACATGTCACCCTTCTTATACATGACACCCTCTCAAAATGTATGAAAATATCATATTACTCGGACTTAAATATTTTCTGGAATTCCAAATTTCCGTAATAAATTGGATTTTTCAAAAATCTCTGTGGCGATACCGAAAATATCGAGATGAGTACCGAAAATTTGGTGAAACAATACATAATTTTTGGTATTTTTGTGAAATATTCGGTACTTCGCACTGGAAATTTCAAAAATTCGGTATTTTTGTACCGGAAATTTTAAAATTTTCGGTGGAGACATTTTCCTTTCAATGGAGATTTCAAAATTTTTGGTACCTTGTAAGATACCGGAAATTTTGAAATTTCCGATATTTCATATGTTTTTGAAAAATGTCGAAAATTTAGAATTTTTCGGTAGTTTATATATTCTTAATTTTTTCTTATTTTTGCAGTGAGGACTAGGGACAAGGACGATACCGTTGCGAGCAGACAAACTGATAGAGCGGAGGCCCAGGCCCGGGCTGATGAGGACAAACTTTCGAGCTACGGGCTGGCCGACGTCCACCGACGGATTCTCACCGGAAACGGTTGGCTCAGTAGTGCTAAGTGCAAAAATGTCGTTATTTTGTGTATATAGTTTGTGACACTTATCGGTTATCTTGTTAATATTCTTTGAATAATTCTCCGCTTTGTGTGTAAATATGTATACTTTGCATATTATTACGTTTTCGATTCATTTATGTACCGTTTGATAGTTTTAATGTCTTTTTGTAGGTATTTTCGCGTATTTGGAGCATCGAGGAATAAGGTGTCGAAGGCACGACTTCAGATAAGTATTTTTGGACAAATTCAAGAAATAAAGTTGCTTCATATCGCGCTTAATGCGCTCTCAGCGCGGATTCTGAACTTGAGCACAGGCAGAGGCGAGCACGCTTAGCGCGATATTTGGCGTATAGCGTGCTCCAAGGCACTTAAGTGAATAAATGAAGGCACGCTAGCGCGGTATTTGACACTTAGCGCGGTCTGCGATTTTCAGTTTTTGTATAAATAGCTTAGAACATATTTTTTTTAGGATTTTTGTCATCTCTTTCCCTCATGGAGGAGTTCTGATCCAATTTTCTGTAATTTATAGGTTTATCCAACATCATTGGATGGTGCATCTTGTCGATTGGTTATGGGTTGTCTCGGATTGTGTTGACACCGCGAGAAATTTCCTATTCATCTCCTTCTTCCCTATGTATCATTCTAATGGTGGGTGTTGTATGTATATCTTTACTCTTTATGTATGTCCATTTGTTGATCATGAGATTGTATGAAATCTCTTTACGAATTAATACCAGTGTTTGTTCTTGATTTTTGCTTTATCGCGGAGTTTTGGTTTGTCATAGACATATGCTTTCTGAATCTCTTTCTTGAATGAATATCTATTAATTTATAGTTCTAGACATAGATTTAGGCTTAATATTCATGTGAGTTTTGATTATGAAATGCATTCGAGTTGTTTGAGTTGTGCGTGAAATCGCCTTCGAGAGCAATACAGGTGATGTCTCACTTTGTGTTAGAGATAACCTTAATGTGAGCGATACGTGATGGTATTGACGAGTGATTTAGATTGCGTGCAATTGATCCACAAGTTTAAGTATTTGATGGGTAAAGTGAAATGCGATTCCATAATGAATTCTCTTAGGCTACAGATGATTGTTTATCGCTATCTTTATTGCTTTGTTTACTTTTCTCGCACTTTTTCCGCAAAACTCTTTTTTAAACTTAGAAGGATTGAAACTTTTGAATGATAACTTTTCCTTCTCACTAATCCCTATGGAAACGATACAATATAACCTATATATCACTCCTATAAAAATACTTACTTTTGCTTGCCGCTTTACCGCTCCAGCAAAATGGCGCTGTCGCCGGGAATTGGTATTGATATTAACTACTCCACAATAGTTTTACTTTCTAAGTTTCATAAATATACCTATTTTGTGCATAAACGTGACTTATACATTTGTATATAGTATACATATTTTGTTTCACGTTTTCCAAGTGTGGTTAGATGTGTAGTTTCGGTTAGAGCTTGAAAAAATTTAACCGAAGGCGGGAGTGAAGTGTTTGGCTCGTCCGAAGCAACGCGTTTGTTTGTAAATAATAGGCGTCGAGCTTACGACGTAAAACAAACATTTTTTTTTAATTTTTTGTTTCGTTGTTACTTTTTCATTCTAGCTTAGGTAGTGTGGTGAATATTCATTAAACAAGTTGTACTCGGATTGTTCGTAAAATTATCAAATCTTCATTTTATAACTTGTTTAATCAATTTTCACTCATTCTTTTAGTATGTTTCTATTAGTTGTTTTATGTTGTTATTCTTTGTGGTTTTTCGCAAGCTTGTCATGTTTAGCTTGTGGAAGTGTGTATGTATTGTAAATGTTGTTTAGATGTGTAAATGAGAGTAGTGTAGGTGATTGTGGAGGTGGTTTTAGGACTTTATGTTGCTGTCCTATTTTTCTGCTACTGGTGTAGCGCGTGTTTTGGCGCTTAGCGCGCTCTGCTGTGATCAGCCACTGAATTCTTTTTGTTTGACTTGGCCCTCCTTTTTCCCCTTTTCACCAAGGTTTTATAATGGTAATCATTAATATTATTTTTCTAATAATTTTTGTTATTGTTTGGACTCCAGTTTTGGTCCGGTAACTTGAATAATTTTGAGGTGATTTTCCGATTTTGATTGACTCAACTTGCAGAAGTATGATAATGATAGTTTTCAAATTTTGATACATGTCAGGTACTCATTTATCGCTTTCTATAGCATAACATGTTTAGAAAATTTATCATTTGTATAATTACTATACCATTCATTCTTTTTGCATTACTTGCTTTTGATTGAATCACTTTAGTTCCCTTTTTACCCCAAATATGAGGAAGCTTTCCATTGTTCATATATGCTGGAGGCAACAATTCTTATTTTAACTGGATTTCATTATGTTTAATTTTTTGTTTGTGTTGATTGTATGAAAGAATGAAAATGATCAATTCATTTTGTTTGATTTTGAGCACAACTACTTAGCCAAATAGTCAATTCACCTTGTGAGTGTGTGAACTTTTGTTAACCTCGTTGAACCTTTTTTGTCAATGTCCATGTTGTCTTTGAACTTAATGCTTGTCTATGAGTGTTTGATTTTCCATTTTGAATGGATGTTGATTCTTGTTTTTTTGAACCCTCAACCATGATTTATGGTTTGAACTTTTACCTTGCCTTAGACATTAGGGAGTATTCACTTTAATGTTGGTTGAATTCAAGTTGGGGAGAGCAATATTTGCTCCCTTATGTTGTTGGTTGCTATGCAGTTATGAAAAATAAAAGAAAAAGAAATAAAAAAGTGAAAAAGAAAGAAAAGAAAAAGAAAGAAAGAAGAGAAAAGTTGTGAAAAATAAAAATAAAAAGAGTATGAAATAATATCGTGTTAATAAGTATTGTGATTGGTTTGTGACATTTGGGATTAAGAAGAAGTTTGATTGAAATTTTCTATTTGAAACTTTGTGAGTTGATCACTCCCTTAGGTTTAGGCAAATTTTTGTTTAGATTAGCTTTAAGAATTATCCCTTGTTTGTTAACCAAGTCACATTACAACCTTGAAAGCCCTTGTGATTCCTGCTTTATATTTTCAACGTGAACTTTTGGATGAATGCATAATTTAGTCTTTTGTTTGTAAGATTGTGGATGAGTGTTTTTGTTTCTCACTTTTGTTTGTTCTTTATCTACCAAAGAATTTTTGCTAGGTGTGATAAGTATTTACTTTACTTGTACGTTTTTATTTGAATCATACATTTGTTTTTCGTTTTAAAAACTTGTTGATTCATGATTCTTTGATTTGTTACTTTTGTTCTTCGAGTTGTTTAGCCTTGTTTGAGGACAAATAAGTTCAAGTTGGAGATAATTTGATAAGTGCAAAAATTTCGTTATTTTGTGTATATAATTTGTGGCACTTATCAATTCTTTTGTTAATATTCTTTGAATAATTCTCCACTTTGTGTATAAATTTGTATACTTTACGTATTATTACGTTTTTGATTCATTTATGTACCATTTGATATTTTTAATGTCTTTTTGTATGTATTTTCGCGTATTTGGAGCATTGAGGAATAAGGTGTCGAAGTCACGACTTCGGATAGGCATTTTTGGAAAAATTCAAGAAATAAAGTTGCTTCAGGTCGCGCTTAGCGCGCTCTCAGCACGGGTTCTGGAGCACAGGTATAGGCGAGCACGCTTAGCACGATATTTGGCGCTTAACGCACTCTAAGGCAGTTTAGTGAATAAATGAAGGTGCGCTTAGCACGGTATTTGACGCTTAGAGTGGTCTGCGATTTTCAGTTTTTGTATAAATAACTTAGAACAATTTTTTTAGGGTTTTTATCATATTTTCCCTCATGGAGGAGCTCTGATCCAATTTTCCGTAGTTTAGAGGTTTAGCACACATCATTGAGTGGTGAATCTTGTCGATTGGTTATGGGTTATCTCGGATCATGTTGACACCGCGATAAGTTTCCTTATCATCTCCTTCTTCCATACGTATCATTCCAATGGTGGGTGTTGTATGTATATCTTTACTCTTTATATATGTACATTTGTTGATCATGATATTGTATGAAATCTCTTTTACGAATTCATACCAGTGTTTGTTCTTGATTTTTGATTTATCGTGGAGTTTTGGTTTGTCATAGACATATGCTTTCCGAATCTCTTTCTTGAATGAATATCTATTAAGTTCTAGTTCTAGACATAGATTTAGGCTTAATATTCATGTGGGTATCAGTTATGAAATTCTTCTGGGTTGTTTTAGTTGCGCGCGAAATCGCCTCCGAGAGCAATACGGGTGATGTATCACTTTGCATTAGAGATAATCTTAGTGTGAGCGATACATGGTGGTATTGACGAGTGATTTAGGTTACATGCAATTGATCCACAATTTTAAATATTTGACGGGTAGAGTGAAATACGATTCCAGAATGAATTCTCTTAGGCTACAAATGATTGTTTATTGCTTTCTTTATTGCTTTATTTACTTTTCTCGCACTTTTTCTGCAAAACCCTTTTCCAAACTTAGAAGGATTGAAACTGTTGAAAGATAGTTTTTCCCTGTCACTAATCCATGTGGAGACGATATAATATAACTGTTGTACCCCAAAAATTTTCCTCCCATTTCTACTCAAAACATACTCCTAGAGGTCCTCAATTGCTCAAGGTTGACTAAGGATTGACTAGACAAATCCTCCTCCTAAGACAATGAGCTTCAAACTCGGGTTTCACTCCTCATCAAGATGTTTGAGTTCCAAGGGTCCTAGATGATTTCCATTTCCCTAATATATTCTTAATATCATCCATGCCAAGTTTCATGCCTTGCACAAGAAGTTTTCTCAGTCAACTACTCAAATGCTTGAAAATCAACTGTACTAGGTCAAAAGTCAATTGTGGCCCACATACAGTCAAACTTCAAGATTTTTGGTCAACATCAACATTTTGGAGTAATATCCATCATCTGAGCAAGGGTTGATCATGATTCCTCAAGGAATGCCCCAAATTCATCAAAACTCAAAAGTTGCTAAATTAGGGTTTCTATAGGAAAAGTCAACCAAATTTTGACCAGACATAACTTTCATATACTTTATTAGAAATTACTCATCCAAGGCTCATTTTTAATAGAATCCAATACCCTACAACTCATCTTCAGCCCTCAAGTTCAAGAAATGCACTCATGAAAAGATATAAATCCAGACATTATAGGTCATTTCAAAAAGTCAACAAAAACACCTTTTGGGTCAAAGCTTCTTACATAAACATGGAATATCCAATTGAGATGAAACCAAAGATGTTGTTCATAGGACACCCTAAGATTTCTAAAAAGTCCAAGAACACCTTCTTAGGGTAAAAAATGAGAGAGATACATTGCTAAAGTTGACAAAATTTTGGAAATGTGCATAAAGTC